CAAGGTGTCAGGGAGGGCATTCCATTTTTTTTTCCATTTACTGTGTTAATAAGGGTCATAAAGGGCAAAGCATGCATCAAGACTGGAGATAGGGCAGACCATCATTCGAGAACATACCATTTATTTGCAATGTTGTGTATTAAAGTCTTCTGAAGATTTCCACTACGAACTATTTAATAAACAGAATTTAACTCTTCCCCGAGGCAAGACTGCACAATATACTTATTTTTTAATGTAGTTTAACTAATGCAGTGGACGTTATGTTAGAGAACCATTGCAAATTGAGTATATATATATATATATATATATATGTACATCCAATGGTGGATTGAAAAAAAAAGGGCACCAGCATGCAGTTATAATGCATTTATGGTGAAACAACTTAACACCCTAGAAGGCACTTTACCACATTTCGTCCAGTGGATGGGCACCCTAGAGGGCACTTTATCATGTTTTATCTACCAAAGCACCCCCTCCCCAGTCCCCGCCAGTGTGTAAACCCTGCTGTACTATAACCATACTTGTAAGCCTACAACAAAAGAATGATTAATAGTGTGAATGTGCACACTCACTTGTGACAACGTTCTTAGAGGCATGCGGTCCACGCTTGTTGTTTTTCACCACCTCCAGTTTGACCTCATACTCCTGGCCAGGGCCCAAGCCTGACTGCTCAAAGGTGGTCTCTGGACGGCCGAGGGAGTTAAGAATCTCGCCATCCTCCTCTTTCTGCCAGAACCAAAAAACACCAGTCATCAACCACTACAAAGACTAGCCATGGCATAATGCATGGAGCGGGAGGGAAAAAAAATCATACATAATGGTGCTCTGAGTGGCGTTTGGACTTTTGACAGGGGAATGTTTAAAGAAGTTTCTATGAGCACTCAAGAAGGAAAATAAAGGGTAATTGGAGCTGTCAGGACATGCTAACAGTTTTAACTGCTATGTTTTTGCATTCTGGCCTGACTGAACCATTTTTCACAGGATAATGATTCTCATGTATGCACATTAGGCAATTACTGGATTTGAAGTAGGGGGTCTGCAGTGGGTCGTATGTGGTTTCTACCAGAGGAAAATGTGGATAATAGTAGAGGCTGTGGTACAGTCTAGAGTTCAACCACCTCCTAGAATACAGATCTTTTAACATATTGGGTAGCAGGACTCACTGTGTTTCTGAAGATGAGGTTCCAGCCATCGAAGGGAATGTCCAATGGGTCCCACTGTACCTCCACTGATGTCTCCCGCACAGACTTAAACTTGAGTCCCTCAGGCTCAGGCAGATCTGGGAGACATAGAACAAAACTCTGACTACATTTTGTATAGATTTATACTCTGTATTTAGTAAACTGCCACAGAGAGGACTGACATACGTGTAGCCACCCTAGCACTGACAGGAACACTCCTCTTGTTGCTGAGCACAGCATAGACGCTGATCAGGTACTCTACGCCAGGCTCAAGCTCCCGAATAGTGGCCGTCTTCTGGTCTCCAGGCACATGCATGTCCAGCTCCAGACCTCCAGAGGCAGTGGGTACGTATGTGATCAAGTACTCGTTCACACGCATCTCATTCTCCCAGGACAGGTCCACTGTCTCTGGAGTGACCTCCACCACTGTTAGGTCCTTGGGTGGTGAGACTGTGGAAAGACACTGAAAATCAGTGATTTGCATTTAAGGTTTTAAAGGTGCAGTAGGTAACTTTTATGAAAATAACTTTTTGTCATGTTTCGCTCATGAAAGTAGTACATGAGACTGATAATCTGTGAAAAATCAGGTTCCTCTGGCTCCTCCTAATGCTCCTAATGGCATTTGTAAGAAAGAATCCAGCAGGCCTGAACCAAAACAACAAATCAGAGTCAAGAAACATAGTTTTGTGTCTCATTCCTCAAACAGAAATTCCCGTCAAATACTGACATGGGGAATGAGAGAGAGAAAGTGTCTTTATATGCTTCTCGGCTCTGATTAGTTGTTTTCATTCAGGCCTGGTGGATTCTTGCAAATACCATTAGGAGCGCAATGAGGAGCATTGTGTCATGTACTACTTTAACATTATTAGATTTTAGTGCTGCATTTGACACCATTGACCATAATATTCTTTTACAGAGACTTGAGCAACAAATTGGCATTAAAGGAACCGCACTAAGCTGGTTT